TAGGATTATTTTAGAAATCGGTATGAGATTCAAAGTGTAAAAATGTCTAGTACTTTGAATGTTTTACAAAATTATTCGAGATAAAGATGTATGGAACTACTGAAAATTACTTTAGATTCCTTTTCCTTGTTCTGTAAATTCTTTGATTGGAATTTGAATGCTGCTGGAAGTATGAAGATTTTCACAGGACAATGATATAAATGGAACTGTAAAACTTTTTTAAGTGTTACAGTGATATTTCGTTGGCATCCGTATTAGCGCACTGCACCGAACGCGGATAGCATGATGTAGTCGCAAGGGAGCAATTGAATCGAATAGACGTATTGTACCGTAGCGCATCGTATTGTATTTCAAACTTTTATATCATTATAATTTATATGTATATTCCAACAAACATACGCCCGGTAATATAAGCTTCATTTCATCGAATTGTCTTAAATATAACTGCATAAATATTGTACAATCCTATACTAATTATATTTGTCTGGTTCAACAGGTTACTACAGAAACTAACTACTGCCTACGTCTTTTAAACTTGGGCTGTAGTAGCATCTGCAGAAACCGCCATTGTTGCTGGGGTTACTATATAATTTGCTCACGGAAGCATGCACAAGTGTCAGTCAGATTTCGACAGTTGTACGAGGAACATTCGACCAATATTATCTATACTATATCAATATTGAATCTATACAAATATTATAATAAATATATTGTAAAATCATGTATGTAAGTAGCACTTAAAGCAATTGTTGTTAAATTTATAGAAATACTATTGTAAATTGTATATTTTTGTACGATTATTTTAATAAAAAACAGTCAAATCATACATATGCGTTATTCATTAATCCCGGCACTATCTCCACTCTTATTCCTAATATCAATTAAACAAAAAAGTAATAAGAAATAATAAATAATAACAAAATAATTAATTCTGAAACGTCTGTGGGGTCATATGACCCCAACGTTTCCGCCATCTTGGATTTTGAAAAAGCGCGGGAAAAATTGGGATTCGTGGGACATACTAGTGGTGCCCCCAAAAAAGCGGGTGGCGAAAGTTGGAACTAAAGCCAGAACTTCTTCGATAGTTCGCACAGTCGCGACCAGATGGCGCTGCTTAAAAAGTTTTAGAATTAGTTCCAACTTTCGCCACCCACTGTTTGTGGGGGCGCCACCGTACTGCAGGTTTTTCCGCCATCTTGGATTTTGAAAAAGCGCGGGAAAAATTGGGATTCGTGGGGCATACTAGTGGCGCCCCCCAAAAAGCAGGTGGCGAAAGTTGGAACTAAATCCAGAACTTCTTTGATAGTTCGCACAGTCGCCACCAGATGGCGCTGCTTAAAAAGTTTTAGAATTAGTTCCAACTTTCGCCACCCACTGTTTGTGGGGGCGCCACCGTACTGCAGGTTTTTCCGCCATCTTGGATTTTGAAAAACGCGGGAAATTTGGGTTTCATGGGACATACTAGTGGCGCCCCCAAAAAAGCGGGTGGCGAAAGTTGGAACTAAATCCAGAACTTCTTTGATAGTTCGCACAGTCGCCACCAGATGGCGCTGCTTAAAAAGTTTTAGAATTAGTTCCAACTTTCGCCACCCATTGTCTGTGGGGGCGCCACTGTACTGCAGGTTTTTCCGCCATCTTGGATTTTGAAAAAGCGCGGGAAAATTTGGGTTTCATGGGGCATACTAGTGGCGCCCCCAAATAAGTGGGTGGCGAACGTTGGAACTAAATCCAGACCGTTTTCGATAGTTCGCAAAGTCGCCACCAGATGGCGCCTTTTTCTATTCAAATTTCGTGCCAAATTTAACATTAATCTTATTTTTAACGCGATTTTAACTGTATTTAGCCATTATTATTGCTTTATTAATGAAAAATATGGGATAGAGGAAGTGATAGGCTTAGTAAACAACGCTGATGTAACATTTAACTGTTTATTATTGAAATAATTGTTAGAAAATGTACAATTTACAGTTGGATTTGTATAAAGTTAACAATAATTGTCTTAAATACATTTATTATAATATATGCATAAACTCAGTAAAACACGGCTTAAATATTATTCAGACTTAGTGTAATTTATCCGTCGTAGAAAAGTTCCACTTCTGAAGCTGGTAGATGTTCCGTACGATCTTCAAAGCTTCGGCTGCATACGATAAATGTGTGTAATAAATTGCAGTATCCCTTGGCCACAATTCAGTCTGTTATCGTTACCCGTAGGTGACGGGAGAGTGGACGGTAGTGAAATGATCGAGTCAACACGAGCTTGAAACATGGTCTTTATTACTGTTGTTCGTGCAACTCTCGAGTTTGGTTGGTTCTTGCTCGTACAACTGTAGCAACTGAGCGTAGACTGACTAAAACTTCTGGGCTGAATGGATTTTATCCAAACGAGGTTCTGTTCATTGGCGTACGAATCGAATATCCCTAGATAAACTACGCACATAGACCTATCATCTTATGGGACTTTGTGTCTTCTGTTCTGAAATACCGATCGTAGGTTTCTGGAGTATCTATTCTATACCTAGTCGGTGCTAATATTCGGCGCCAACTATTTTCGGTTTTCAGTCCTTAATTATTGTCAATATTTTGATAAATTTCGAAATGCAGATTTCGGTGGATGGATGCTGATGATTCTGGAATTTAATATCATTAGAAAACATGTGTAATTGAAATTTCTATGAGTATCTCCATATGTTCTTTAATGTCTCTTGGGTGGCCATGGAATATTATGGCATACGAGAGAGTTCTCATGTATAAAATCGTGATATTACCCAATTCAACCAACCCGCTGAAGATCTTTACACACGTAAGCGAATCGTGCGATTGGATCTTTTCCTCGCACAATCAAATCAAATCAGATTCCCTCACTCTCACTTTCGCCTTTAGCAAACAAATGAGACGGAAAATGACGCAGGGGAAAGCGACGAGTTGCTATATACGTTTAGAGTTTAGACAAACCGAAATATTGTCGGCAGTCTATACTTACCGTATTATCTGTTAAAACGTGAGAAATACGAATATATACGAACACAACGAAAATAATATATTAGATTCACGTCACTGATAAATAATTATTATAGTTTTATAAGAATTGTGCCTGAAGGTTTCAATGTTTGTTCATTATGGTTCCGTGTTTACTTCGACACATTGCAGTGTTAGTTGAAATTGTAATACATGAACGTTTCAACATTTTTTCCATTTTCGTAAGTTTGTGAATTCGTCGCGTAACAATATTTAAGAAACTACATCTGTATTCGTCGTTTTGTATGACGAGAAATGTGAAGATTTGGTTAGATGTGTGCAGAACACAATACGCATAGAATAGTACAGATGTGAATGAAACCGGATGTATACATTTTATAGAGGCATGCGTATTACCGTATTGTCGTTTTTTGCCTTTCCGTTGACGTCATTTTTCCATATACTTACATAAAAAAAAAAGTGTTGTGCGAGTCTTTAGAACTTGTACCTAATTATTTTGAACACGAGTGCTTAACTGTTTTATGTTGAATTCATTTAAATTGTAAGTTCTTAGTTAAGTATTATACCTTCGTATGTGGCGTCCGATCTGTTGAACTTCGTCGCGAGGCTCGCGAGTTTAATATACAACATGCAAGTGCAAGAAGGAGAAGGAGCGGATGGTATGTAAAAGTGTACCGCGTTTGTTGCAATGTTTTGATCTTTCGTTCTTACAATGTTTAATTGCGAGAAGTAAAATAATGCATTGTCAGTATGACCTTTGTAATACACTTAACCTCTGTTGTACGATTGTGTTTGCTAACTGATGTTACATAGCAAAATATGGTGGATACTTGAGTTATTTACTTTTATCTAGGCTCGCCTTGGAACAATTCCAGCGGTTGTGATGAGGACCGTCGACCAGCTCAAAAGGAGGGTAAAAAGTCGAATATATTACCACTATGGGGAAATGAAAGGACTATGAATTTAAATCCACTTATTCTAACAAATATACAATCGTCACATTACTTCAAAGTGAATTTATATGAACTGAAAACATACCATGAGGTGATTGATGAAATTTATTACAAAGTGTCTCATTTGGAACCATGGGAGAAAGGAAGCAGAAAGACAGCGGGTCAAACTGGCATGTGTGGAGGCGTGAGTATGTTTTTCAGTAAACTGATAATTGTTAACTGTCTGTTTATTTATTGACCTAAACGTGAAGAAATCATAGTCACTATTGTGCAAATGGAAAGACTCAGAATTTTTAAGCAATCTAAAGGACCTGGGTACATTATGAAATGACAACTACAAATAAAACTAGGCAAGGTGAAATTACTTAGAATGTATTGCATCGAGTGAAAGTTTTAAATATTGCAGACCTTTGCTGTTATTGTGTGATCAAGCATCAATACACAAATATTGGCCTTAAACCAGTCTGAATTCAAACACAGCAATTTCATTTAATACCATATTTACTTCTTGCAGAGTAGCATGTTCTTGGTCAATATATTTAATTATAATGTGTGTATGAGTAATTGACATAGGGGGGTATAAATTTAGCGGTTCATGCAGGTCCGTGGTGTTGGTGCTGGTGGAATTGTTTCAACGGCTTATTGTCTACTATATAAACTATTCACCTTGAGGTTAACAAGGAAACAATTAAATGGTCTTATCAATCATCCTGATTCACCATACATTCGGGCGTTAGGATTTATGTATATTAGGTAAGAAAAAGATTGTGTAACCTCGTTTTACGTTAATAGATTATACACTAAACTGTTGCTGACATTCATAGATACACACAACCACCAGCTGACTTATTTAGCTGGTATAGCGACTATCTAGAAGATGAAGAAGAATTAGATGTAAAAGCTGGAGGAGGTCAAGTAATGAAAATGGGTGATATTCTAAAACAGTTTCTTACCAAATTAGAATGGTTCTCAACATTATTTCCAAGAATACCAGTGCCTATACAAAAAGAACTTGAACACCGATTAGCAGAAAGGTTTCCACAACAATCTATGAATGCACGAAATGCAAAACCACCTATAACACTAAATAGTCATGGAAAGTATAATAATAGCGCGAATAGGAAAGACAACGGCAATCTTACTGCACGAAATCAACCTCGACACATACCTGATAGTGAAGCTCAATGGGGTGAGGCAGAGAGAACAAGCCAGTGGCGAGCCAGGTGCGTCTACGTGGTATGACTACAATCACGTTACTAATTTATATAAAATTAATAATATTCATGGAACTTGTTAAGGAATGAGATGAAGAGTTAGGGATTTACCATTTAAAAAGGAAAATAGACTTGATCTTAGTGTATCTTTACTCGATATTCATAACCACTGTACATTGATCTTTAAATTTATATATTTATATATTGGTTATGGAGGAATGTTCAATTGTTAAATATTGCATTATTACGAGCTATACATAATGTGTAATATCAACGTGTTCCAGATACACAATTCCTTGGTATCTTGTCTTGCATCTTTACGTATTAGAACTACGCATTTTTTACAAGCTAATATTTTTGATAAACATTTATTGTACAGTGATACTTCCCTTTGAACAATTTCTTGTCTAGGTCTGATGAAGATCGCAAGGATAAGTACAGAGAACGTGACCGTGAGCGGGAACGTCCTAGGGAGAGAGAACGAGACAGAGTTCGAGAAAGGGATCGGGAAAGGGATAGGCATTTCAAACGATCGTCTAGTCGCGACCGAACTCGAAGACAGAGAGAATGTAGGAGTCGTAGCAGGGACAGATCACACAGAGACAGAAGCAGAGATCGTTATCGTGATAAGGATCGTTATAGAGATAGGTAATACAATTGTTCAGTGTACTGTCAATTGTAGGTTTCTGGAACTCTGTTTAATTATAGGAGAGGCTCGCCCTACGACTATGCTGCAGAGCTTGCTCGGGAAAGAGAGAGACAACGAAAAGAATGAAAATGTGTGCTGACGTGTATATATCGATATAAATGTTTGTACGAGTGTAACTATGGAGATGAAAACGATTTAGAGCCGAGCCATCCGAACACCTTCGCGTTTTAAGAGAAAACCTACTCCATCTGGAGTAATAGCCTAAAATTAATTCGACTATATTCACCTTGTAGTTTACATGTTTTTATAAAATAAATCCATGATTATAATTGTCCTGTTCTACTGTTATTTCATACACACTTAATACGGATTCCTTTCATCGAAATTTTGGCTATACAATTAGAACTATACTACTCTAACAATATTATTGTTAAACTCATTTAACGAAAACATGAATATATTTAATAACATACACGGTATTCTCAAACTCTATTTCCATGCTTCATGATATTATGTGTGGAAAGGTGTACTTTACTATTATGCAAATGGAACACCCGAGCAGTTTATTGTATAACTTGTTTTCAAGCCACGATATTAATAAATTTTGTCATAAACTATTCTTTATTTATTCATGGCCCTGAATCAACACTCTACGGCGCGTGAGTATTTTGTATTGAAGTTAAAAATGGCGACGGGTACTTGCTGTTCGATTACCGTTGGACGGGACTGAGCAGTGGTGTCATTGAAACATGAGAGAAACATTTATAACCAGGTGACATTATCAGCGTGGCCAATTTTTCAAAGGTGATACGAGTAAAAAATATTTCTCGATACTCCTAGATTTTAATTTATTATTTATATACATTTTCGTCGCGACCCATGCTGCCATGTTGTACGCTATAATGCTAGGATTTGTTTCATAGAGTATCTGACTTCGACAAAAATCGTATTAACAATACGCGTTAGAATACTAGTCTTATTATACTTTACGAACCCGGGCATTAGAAAAGATTAACGAATGAAAATGAAGTTCAGTCCTTCGATGCTACAGTCCTTCCGTGTCGGAAAACGACCCAGTAAAATAATTACACGCCATCTAGCTATTCTTCCTTCGATCGAAACCCTGAATTCTGTTTGCAGATGATTGGCCGACGCTGCGCTCTCGTCGCTTTAGGCGGTCTTTTGATTCTCGTCCTGACCGTCAATATATATTTCATTCGACTGATCGTGGAGAGCTCGTCGCAAAAGACTTCTTCCAAGGCAATGCCTGTTTCGCAATTAAATCCCGAACAGGAACAGCTAATTTCTCAAGTGGAACAGAATTTGGAGATTCCAGAAAAATCGGCCGCGAAACACATGGCAAAGAGGATCAAGGAGGAAATTCAAATATTGCCATCGAAATATTTTAAGTACAACACTAGCTACGCGATAGTTTTGGAACGATTATTAGCTGAATTAAGAATAACGCCTAATGTTCGTGAAAATATATGGAGCATTCCTAATAGTAATGTTCGTATCTTGTCTAAATATTTCAAATTTGATATTTTCATTAGACAGTTGAAGGTAAAAAAAAGTCGTAAGACAAAATTAAATTATTACAGTGTGCTCCATACTTTTATATTCGTTAAATTACAAATGAAATCCACTTTGTAAGGGAATAGAGTTTACAGTCTTCCTTTTAAGGAAATTATCAAATAAGACATTCATACAGTATCATTATCGATGAAATGCTTCCAGAATTTTAGGATAATTTCAACAATTGTATGATGCCGCCATATATAAAATTTAGATATAATAAAAGAAAAAGGTACTTCGCGGTAAATATGTAGTAAAACGTCACATTTAAAAGACTATACCACAATATGGAAGTATGGAGCATTTAAACTTATCTAATCTGTCTTTATCACTTCTTTTTTGTAACTTCACTCTTTTCAAATCAATTCAGCTGATTTGTTCGTAGCACTGTATACTTGCGTCACACCACAAAACTCAACGTTTGAAATGATATTATTAATGTCGAACAATGTTATTCGCGATGAACAGAAACTTATACTTTTAGTGGCCTGACGCGCATCAGTTGATCCCACCGGTCGCTCCGGAGTTGGGAACAATACTGGATACTCTGCGTAAATCGAAAGTGATCCGAGCGGACAACGCACCGCTTGGGACACAACTGAAACTGATGTTGACCCTCGAACACGGCGTGAAGGCGATGTTCAAGCCTCAATGGTATTCCAGGGACACGGTCCTCCGAGGGCCTGTTTACCACGGGAAGGACCGGCACAATGCCGAGGTTGTAGCATTCCATTTGTCCTCCTTACTGGCCTTGAGACGAGTACCCATTACTGTTATAAGGAAACGTATGTCCCCCTGGTGTCTAGTATAGCTGTTTCCAAGATGTAAGGTTATCCATAAACATGACCGACCTTAAAGTTTATTTATTTCGGCAGTCTAATCTTATCACTCTATACCCTTGAGTTATAAAAACTGTTCTCGACCATCGTTCAGGGGCGTATGACGTCAATTTGGGATTGGTTTTTCCGTTTTAATGTAATTAAACAAGTTCCTATAGCGTACTAATTTCAGATTTAAAATACTTTTGGCCCTTTTATTCTTGATGAAAGCTTACGACAACGTAAATTTCTTTCTAATATTAGTATTTTTCGTTTTATTTTGTGGAATCCCATAGCTGAAAGTGGCGTTCCACTCTGAGTGTGGTGGCGCACAATGAGCCCCCGATGATCGAGTATTATGTAGTGGTTTAAGGGTCGGCCATGTTTATGGCTAACGCTATATCTTTCAAGCAGCTATTACAAGAAATTGCGTTGTTCCCTTTTTAGACAAAGGGCTTGTTAGATATACAATAGCAACATACTTTCACAGTTGACCTAAGAACCGAGGTGCGATCACGCGCGACTCCTGAACTGTACGCGACCATGTACCAAGACGGGAACGACACTTGCCTCTATGGAATTTGCCATTACTGCTCCCCTGCCGATCCAGTTTGCGGAACTGGCGATATTTTAGAGGGTGCTCTGATCTCGTGGTTGCCTAGGTACTTGAGGCTCGTGAAGCACCGTCATCCTTGGCAAAGGACATATAAAAAGAACAAATTTGCCACATGGGAAATGGACGACAGTTACTGCGAGAAAGTGCGTACATTAAAATCGAGCTAGCTGGACAGTTACCTAATTAAGAATATTTAAAAGCAAATTGTTCGTTCAGGTGAAGGAGTCTAAAGCGTATTCTCCACAAGCATCGAGTAGACTTTTGGATTTAGTAGACACCGCGATCTTTGATTTTTTAATGGATAACGGTGATCGTCATCATTACGAGTTAGCGCAAAATAATTTCCATAACCCGGCTGTTTTATTGATCGACAATGGGAAGAGCCTTGGGAATCCTGACGTCGATCACTTTGATATTCTAGCGCCATTGTATCAGTGTTGCATGTACGTATTTAAACGCATTGTAATATTTCTTATAGTGGAATCAATGGTTGACATTTTTTTTTACATTTCAGGATTCACAAAACTACGTGGGATCGTTTAAAATTGTTCAGTGGCGGCTCGCTGAGCATATCCCTGAGGGAACTTGTCGCGCACGAGTCAATGATGGCCGATGTTGAACACCTTGTTACAGATGCCCATTTAAGTGCCATGGATAGAAGATTACTTACTGTATACGCAGTTATAGAGTATTGTTTAAAAAGTAAAAAGTATGCTTCTAACGTCATATTGGATCATCGGTAGCCTATACTTTATAAAATACTCAATGTATTTAAACAATTTTAATAATTCGATAAATAAGAATACATTATGTATTTTATACGACGTAAGTACGGATGAGACTTGGTATCGTTTTAAGGAATCACGTCAATTTGAAATTTGTCGAATAAAATTATTCACAAACACGAGAATAATACCTAGATAGCACATGACACCTTGAAGATCGCTTAAAGGCGCCTTAGACCTAAAATAGCCGTAAAATGGGCGTCTTTAAAGCGTCATCTAATATCTGGGATATGTATCTCCAATTCGAGGAATCAAATTTTTCGAAAATTTATTAGAAGATTGAAATCGATAATATGGTATGATAATGTATATGAATGGCCTGTGTAAATATGGAAAATGGAACGTTAAATTGTAGAGCGATAAATGGTGCTTCGATTACTTTTGATATAAGGAATTTACATGATTTAATATGTATTTAGAAGATCTTATTTTGGCCTAAATAATCTATAGGTAACGTAAATGTTAACCCTTGTTAATAAGCTTCGTATGAATGCCCAAGGTCAGTGTCCATAAAGTAGGCAAAAGAAGCGGATGAAGAAGAACAATTGAGTGATACCAGCCGTATCAAGTTTAGTGTGATTTATTTGATGACACAATAATTATCGTTATTTGAATAAAGATCGAGTGCAGTGTCGTACAGCGTATAAATACGGTACAAACGTAAAAAACCTGTAAATGCGACTGTATAATTGTTACGTTACATGCACATCGTATTCAGGACGACATCGTGCCACCGATTGAATTCTGTAAATCGGCCATAAAAGCCCCCTATCGCTTAAACATGTACAATATGTATAGTCTGTGTAGTCTGTAATGCAATCTGTCCTTCGTTTTGGTAGTTCGACACACACACATACCTGCCCAATGAATTGCACATGGATGATTTATATTTCCGTTGCCTTTCATATCTCTTCTTTTTATACACTTTACACGCCGCTCGTCTAAAAGAGATCACTTCGCGGGCTACCAGGTTGGGACCTTCGATTAAAACTCCCACCATCGCGCATCATCTTATATCCCAATCGTCATTCGTATTTACAATGTTACATGACCAGAAATTACTCACATGTCTTACCGGCTAATTATAAACTTTATCCGTAAACATTACATTTAGCGCCGTCATCGTTAGGTTGTGTGTATACATATAATTATATTAACATTTCTTTAATTAAATAGAGCTTTCGTAGCAAAGTATGTATAAATAGACTATCTTTGCACGCACACCCATCATCATCATTATCATCATCATCATCATCATCATCATCAGTTGCTCACTTCGAACTGCGCGCTTGCATTCTTGAAGGCGAGACAGTACACACACCGTTTTGAGCGGTTCGTCCAATGAGATCCGTCTATCGAATAATGATACGCTATTACCTGAAAAGTAGTGGACGAGAGGAATGGCAGTTCCCCGGGGGATCCTATGAACCTTGGCTCAGTTCGAAGCCAGTTTCTTGTTGTTTTTACGCCCTACGATAATACTGTATAATTCTATCCAAATTCCTCGAGAAGAGTCGCGTGAAACTACACTTATTTTGGGATCGTACCTTTGACCGTAGAAATGTTATCTTGTTTAAAATAGACTCGTACTTCCGTAACGGCAGAGTGAATTATTGCATCGCGCGGTTGACGTACGCTCTTACATCCCTTCGATTCGAAGAACGTCAGGGCATTGTCGCTTGCGTGTCCCTTACTTAGTTTTTTTAATTTTTTTTTTTTTTAATTACATATCACACCGAGGTGCCTGACGCACGTAAAAATCTAGAATAAATATAGGCCATTTTTAGGCATTGAAAAACTTCTCTCGACAGATTCTAATCCCTAATTTACCATTGTAATGCACACCGTTTCCTTATCGTTTAAGAGCGAATGGAACGACGTGTTTTAAAGTAGAATAATCGTATCACGTATTGCCGAAGACCTATTTAAGCGTCTTCATCGATACTTTGGTGTCGTTTCGCCTATCGATGTGATATATCTTTTTCGTCGTAAAAAGTCAGAAGGAGAAAATCTGTACTTATAATTCTTAACGTTATTAAACGCTTTTGATTCGTTTTCCTTTTTTTTTACGAAACTTTTGTATGCATATCTAATTCGGTTGTATGTCCTTTTTCTTTTCTTTTTTTTGCTTTCATTTGACTGGGATGATACAAACTGGCCTCATGCACGATCGCTTTTAGAAATTTTCTCTGTGTAATTGTCAAGTTAAAGCGCCGATTCCACACCTCTGGACGACGATGTCGATGAACTCAAATCCTCCGAGTGTCGAGTGTGGGACGAATCGAGGGAGGTGACCGAGTCACTGTCGTTGCTATGAGGACTCGAATAATTAGCTGCTTCCTGTAGTCTCATTAGCATGTTCAGCTGTAAGAGCGACAGACGTTAATAAATTATTGCATTGTATTAACGTAGTACATGCGTGTGCTTCTTCTTTCACTCATGGAGTCTTCGGTCAAATTCAAAATACTTGATGCATTTTTCCAGAAATACTTATAACTTTCAAAATTGTGAAGAAAGCGTCCGGTTACAAAAATACACTATCTTCTAAGATATCACGATGGTCATTTCAATAATTCCAGCGTAAAAGATATTTTTTAAACGTGTACAAAGTAACAAAAAAATGTGTTAGTTATACGGTTCTCGAAGCGTTGTATATAAAGTATTTAATATTTAAGACTATTTTTTCTTAGTAAACACTTAATCCTTGTAAATGTTTAAGTTTTGTTTCAAAGACGAATGAAATATTTCATCGTCCTAATATTTTGTATTAACAAATAAAAGTACCAACCAGTGGATCGCCTTCGGTGTCACTGTGCGTGCTGCCGAGGCTTTTCACGCTGGACCCGCCGACCCCGGAAGTGTGTCCAGAGGTGTAGAGCGTCGCTGCCGCCGTGTACCGCGTGGGTAGAAATCCACGGATAACTCGAGGTGATAAATTGGGCTGGATCTTCCCATGGGGTGTCGCCATTTCCATTACCAATCACGCGTCTGCCATAGAGTGTTAATCCTTCTCTGACTGCTTCTATCAAATATGGGATCACGGAGTAGTTCCACAGGTCTGTGAACCATACCTGGGAACCAGTTACTTCCATCGGACAGGACAAAAACAGTCGTGGCCCTAAAGATCAAACATTAAGCATCAAGTCCTTTTAAGGGAACGGAGATTATTAAGGTGTTGTTATCGTCTTACCTATGGTCACGTCGGAGCTACTATGAGTTTCTAGGAACTTGTTGAGATGCAACCAAACCCGAGGTAACCACTCAACCACCGCCGCCATTTCTGCATTCCTGGCCCCGCCACACTCGCGTAGCTCGTGTTCCAGCAACTTCCGCCTGAGATAACGGCCCAAGAACCCTTTAACTGGTTCCATGTGGTTAGCGCAGAGCACCCACCTGCAAAGGAACAGAGTTGAAGGAAATTAATTTAGAAGAAGCAAAACAAGGGCGGAAAACGGGGAGGATGTGTAGCATAAAGCGTTACCATTGCTTTATTTAGGAACTACTAGAGACAATGAGATACATATGTTATATAAGAAGACAACTATATTCTATGTAAGTTCTTTTGGTTGAGCGTTACAGATGGTTAACACAACATATTTATTGAAAAGGAAGGGAATGACCTACCTGAAGTTGTGATGTAACTGAAGATTCGTCGTGCTACAAGTCGCCTGGCTCATCGTCCCTATGATAGCCGGGCATGACGAGTGTCTGGTACCGAGTAGCCCGCTGAACAATTCTCCCAAGGATGCAGCGTGTTGCAGGTTCTCTAGAATGATAACCCTTGGCAACTCGTCGGCTGCGTTCGAGTCGCATCTTTCGGCGATGTGCGCGAGATATTGCCTGAGCTCTTTACTGGACTTGTGGTCGACGTTGAATGTGGCGACCGCTGCCGCATCTTTTGCATCGTTGTCGGTATCTACCAAGGCGTGCGCCAACTTTCCGGCCAGATAACTCTTCCCGGTGCCACTTGGTCCGCAAAGAATGACTCTGCGATGCTCAGTCAGCAGAGATATCAGCCGTTGCACGATCGACCGTGGTATTAGGGTGTCTACGGCAAGCCACGAGTAACCGGAGAGCACCAGGTAGATAGTTTTCACGTGGCCGATCAGATATCCGCAGGGAAGTAGTTCTGGATGCTGCGAATCCGTGGTGCATCTGTATATGTAAAGAAACAGATGAATATATTGTGTTCGCAAATACAATTGTATTTATTGTGAAGTTTAGCCAACAAAGGAAAGTACCGTGAAGCTTCGCCAAGGTGATAGGCGGCGACACATTCCACGCCCAGACCAAGATTCGTTACAGGATCGACTCTTGTAACGTACTCCTTGAAACAACGTCTCACCGTCGAATCCAGAGCGTCCCAAGTGGTCTTGTTGCTGATGCAAACACTCGCGATGATACAGTGAGGCGGCTCACCGATACTACCGTCTGATGTGCTTCCGGTTACTAGATTATAATTGAAGTTCTTCTCGCTGCCGAGATAGATAGCCACGTTGATTCTCTTCCCGTCTGTGTCCTGCTCCATCGTTGGTTCACCGGTTGTCGAGGTGGTCGACGGCACCACTGGATGCTCCGGTACATTCAAATTTTCCAGTTGATCTGCCGCCGAACTGGCGTCGCCGTTCGCCAACGCGGCAACGGTCGAGGCCACTTCCGTCATGCTGAAACGCCTGTCCGGGTCGCTGGGCAGCGACGACTGCGACGATGTCAATGATTTCGAGGTCACCAATCTCTGGAGACGTTCATTATTCTGCTTCAAATTCAGCATCTCGTTCTGCAATGGAAAAATGTTGTAGGTCAATTTACTGAAAATGGTATAGTTATAAAATATGAATCACTATCTGATGTAGTTTTAATGATCTACATTGGGAAACTATTCCTTACAATGGAAATAACTAGAATTCAGAAGATTTTATCTCTTATCTGATCCTTAGAAAAGTACTTCTATTTAACGTTAGTTCCTCTAATACCAATAGATGTCTCACTACTAATACCACAGATGAGATATAAGAATAGACCTAACATTTTAGAGCGCACCTCTACATAAAAGTTCCCGATATCAGGAATTACGTTCGACACCGTGATAACGCACAGCACACACACATGAATGCATATAGCGATGCATACATTCATTATTGCCTCGGTATCGCTAGCAAGGAATGGAATTCTGAAATGGTACGGGGGTTTCTGAAGCCCCCTAAGCATAGGACCTCTATCCTTATATCTCGTCTGTGCTAATACAGTGGACTCTGACTATATTGCCACGCGAGGCACTTTTCCTTCACACGTACTTTCGTGCTATGACGATAGAACTTAGCATGGAGGGGGCTCTGAACTCATTGCCATTTTACTCCCCTACAGCCGAGACCATGGCAATATAGTAAGAGTCCACTGTACTATACTTTCCTATTCAGCTGAGGCATCAAGTGACTTACCCTCATCTTTATGACCGTATCCTTCAAGGACTCCAACTGATGGGCCGACGACAGAGCCTCCAATCTGATATCAGTCAGCACCAGGTCCTTCTCCCTGAGCTGCTTCTTCAGCTCGACCACATCCTCGTCCTCTTTCTTATACAAGGCTGAACTGCTCTTGCTCCCGGTCAACGGGTTCTCGACATCCGGTGATTTTTGTCCGTTGCTCCTCGGGCCCTGGCTCTTGGCCGTGTCGTGTTTGGCCGCGGTTGGCAGTCTGGGACTGTTTGGCGCGCTGAGGTCGCCACCGGCGCTCTCCTTGCAATCCTCCGCGTCAGAAACGGACCCGTGTCTGTTTTTCCGCGACCTCGAGAACGCCTTGGAGAACGAGCTGCGTAGCCAGCCCTTCTTCTTGTGATGGCTGCTGGCCGAGCAAGCGCTGCTCAACGAGTTCAACGACGTGACGCTGTCCGCTGACAACTGTCGCGCCATCGAAGCACCCTGATGACTGCTGTTCCCGGTGCATCCGGTCGTCCCGGAATCGGAATCGCCCAGAGTATGGCGGCGACCATTGTTCGCTGTCGGTCCACTGTTCAGACCAGCCTCAGCGCTTTGCTTCCGAAGCCTTTCGATCGTCTCCCTCAGCTCCTGCAGCTCAGAATCCTGCAAAATCACACGGATCGTATAGTCGTCTCGTTTTTCTTAATTTTTTTTTTTTATAACCGTGACAAGTATTTCGCCGCGAGATACAGACAGAGGAAACGGTCGCGGTCGGATAGGTCAGGAAAATTAACGATAATTGCGCGCCCGGATCGTTAGCGCATGCACACAGGGCTCTCCGATTTATACCAACCCGTCGAGATTTACGAGACCATAAAAACAATCAGGTGGTAGAAACTTTCCCTTCCTTATACAACGCTAATTGTACGATTTCGCAAGTATACGAGTCTTAACACGTAGGCTGATTTATTGTGATAGTTTATTTCTCGGTGACATGTTATTGAGCGTGAAAAGTGGGTTGGAAATGTTTTTATTCTAGTAGGCGACCGCGAGGCGTTCGGCGTCCTTTTCGGGTTCTTTGCGATTGCTTCAAACAGCGTCCGACTCCTTTCGAAATGGCCCGCAAACGCTGGACGGAAAACTCGAATTGTACATCTTCGGTCGATGATTGTAAATAGTTCGATTCTTGTCTCGATATATTTTGAACCTTGTTTGAGTTTCATTGCATTCTATTATGGTGTTCTATTAATCGAAGTCCCGCATCGTTCCATTCATGACTGATAACTGGTGCCATTTAGATTCAACTTTCAGGAGATTCTAATGATATTGCGAAGTCGATGAAATATTATCACAAAAGTAAGTCACAATTTTCAGACGAATTGATATTATATCAATTTGCAATAACTCAGCGGAATACAAGAATGTTCCAAGACCCAACGACAAGGTGTTCAGGTGTTGTCAAAGAATTCAGCGTCGTGAAAAGGACAAGGTTCTCGACTGTGGCAGCAGGGGCAGTTATCCGAGTGACTGATCATGGAGTCGTTGCTCCACGACTCAGCCATGCTGAACAATTGTCTCATGGATTTCGAGCTCGATTCTTTCCTAAGCTTGTCCGCCTTGTCCTCCTGACTGCTCGACAGATTTTTCTTCAGCTTGCTGCCGATCGAAGACCGATTGCTTCCGGTTAATACAGTTGGACCTAACTTGGACGAAGATTCGGGAACACTAGCGCCATCTGCGTTGTCCTTCCGACGCGTCTTGGTCTTGTACGATATACTTTTAAGTCCTCTTTCCAATTTCGCGTGAAAACCGCTCAGTCTATTCGTCCCCTGCGTCCGATTGTTCTTTTGGACTTCTTCTTGCAAATTCTGGAGCTTCCTCGTCGCCTTCACTTCGACGTTCCGTTGCCGTTTCGTGTCATTGCTCGATCTATCGGTGTCGTTAGATCTTTTCGCGAGGATCTTGGACCCGGATGGAATGCCAGAGCTCCTAGAAGTGGTCGAATTCGAACCGATCGAGGAACTTTTCGATTCTGGCACTCGAAGACCGAGGGCTCTTGCGTCTTCTGGAGGGATTGGGATCACAATTGTACCGTTTACCGACTGAATGTTACTGTTCGGAAATATGGAAGCCAATTGCGCGGCTCTCGAATTACTTGGTCGGTCCAGTCTTTGATTCTGGAACTTTTGCGCTAGTGATTGATTCATGGCTTGACAGACGCTCTCGTTTACGTGCATAATACGAGGATACCGAAGATTTTCGTCAACTCCAGTGTTTACGGAGAAGGTTATGCGTTTGAGGTTAAGTTGCTAGCGTGGGACGTTTGTCGCTGTGCGAATGCGTTCGTTCATCTCTGCGATGGTTGAGTCCTGCACGATACGAGGCATTCTTGAGTATATGCGAAATCAGTGCGTTGATTTTGCCGACGTCTTTGGGAATGATTTTCGAAGTGTCATTGCGCTGTCTCGGATGTTATACTTCTGTTGTGAGCTGCCATTGAGACAGTCCCTTGTGGAGATGCGTTCAGTCGATAGAATCTGATTTGATATTGTTTCCGTTCGAAGGTTCGTACGTGTATTTGAATATAGTCGACATTGGCGTAACTAGAATTTTTTTCTGGGTGGGCTGGGTCCTCTGACTCTCGCCCATAACAATCCCCATCAGGCATTTGTACGTAATTTATACCACGTGTCTGGGTTGCACAAAATAAAGTTACACTTAATTGCATCCGACCCTTCAATCGATGTCGCAAGATTATTAGTTAAGTAGAATGTAAAAATTAAACAGCTTAATTCTAATAAAATTTTACTTAATATTTTAACGTAATCAGGAAACACTCACTTTCTTTTCAGCCGTTGCAGTCAGTTGTTGCAGCCGTTGTGTCATGTTGGACAGGGACTGCTCGAAGGCCGACACCACATGAGCCTGTAACAGAAAAACGATCGAAGAGTTAAAAAAAAGTGGAAACGTTTCAAAACAAGTTACATAGTTAATAGCTTTTCGATCAATTGACTGCATATTCGAATCAACTTAATTAGATCAGCACAGATTAAAGTGTCCAATAATGCGGTAGTACCATCATTTTAATAATATAATTGCAAAACATTGTAATTGAGGAGTGGTTATAAATAACGAGTTTATTCGTGATCATGTCGAAGTCGTTATTCAAGTATAACCATATGATTCTCATATAGAATCTTTTTTAAAGAATCGCATTTTCATACGTTACACGCGAAGTAGGCTCAATAAAGCAGAACCGGAGGACATCAGTGTGAACACCGTTGAAGTCTCGACGACGAATATTACAGAGGGCAGCTGCCTGATTTACATAATAAGAATGATACGAAAATTACGAGAAAAATTGAACGATCCCGTGCTTTTTTGCGTCCCTCGATCATATCGTTACGTTCTGGATCATGCACTTATACACACGACCGCTGTTACACGAGTCCGTGAGATAATCAGTTTCCGTTGGTTCAGCGATCCAGGCAAAAAGAAAACCATTCACAGGGTGGAATGCGGTGATTTGAACTGTTCCAACGCAAACGATTCTTATCTGCTCATATGCTTGTTTCCCATCATGTTATTGTCCGTGTTGTATGAATGTTAATAGTCAGATACTCTTGTTTAGTAGGTGTACCAATAAATAATAAATTTAACGAAATACGGTGGATTATTTATTGAACACGCCTAATAATATTAATCCATTTCAGGAGACAAAATATCTATAGATAATAGTATTAAAAACTTCTACCTTCTACCGTATCAGCGTGACACCACCTTACAGTGTGCTTAAAAAAATGATAACATTCATATGGAAATAACTTTATTTTTAGAAAACATATTCATATTAATAAATGTATTTTATCTTCAAAGAACCTCCACTTGTTCATCATTGTCACCATATTTTTGGAACGTTCTTCAGGTGGACTCTAGAGCCCTGAGAGACATTTCCTTATCGCAATCATATTTCCAATGAAAATAAAATATATAAATGTACGAATTCTCCATATAAATGTTAAAATATTTTCGAAACACTGTATATATAATCCCTGTTCCCGAAATGTTCCTGACAGTAGAATATGTACTACCACCTCGAATCCCAAGGTAACCCAGTATAGTTATCAAAGAGAGGTTCTCGAACCGGAGCATGGAAGCCAGATAACGTCGAGTGGAGATATACCCGGGAGCTATCTTCCGCGTATCGATCCACCGCTACCTAATTTTCGTTCTTGCACTCAATGGATAGTTCTCCACTTCTTTTTTCCTTCCCTCCATTTCTCGAGTGGTCGTGCATAGTGGGCAGCCGGACACGATGATACCGACGAAAATAGAAAGGGCTAGGGATCTCTGGGTTTGGTACAAAGACCTTCCTCGACCACGAGTACATCGTGTATTTTGGGTACAGAATGGGTTTCTGGTTTCGGCAACCGCCCAAATTTGTTAGACCAATCGAGAGTCTGTCGAATCGACATCCGACGGAGCTATACAATCGGCGGTTTCGCCATTTTGGGGAAATACGTGGCTGGAACATAGTCTAAACTACTGTATGCGAAACACAATTTGGGTTGGTTAGATTTTATGCGAGTGGTTTAAAACTCACTTTTTAATTAAATATTATTATGCAGGGTGTCCCAAAATAGCTTCGACTCTCTGAAGTAAGGGATTCCTGGGATGATTTGAAACAACTTTTTCCTTAACGAAAATGTTGTCCGAGGCTTTGTTAACGAGATATTAACGAAAGACCGTGACCCAATCGGAGCGTGAGTCTGCCGGCCGAGCTTCTGCTATAGCGCGCTGCGATTGGTAGGCAACGCTACCGCGGGTACTCGACCGGTAGACTGGCGCTCTGATTGGTCGGGATTTTTCGTCAATATCTCGTTAACTAAGCCTCCTAGAACATTTTTGCTAAGGAAAAAGTTGTTTCAAATCATCCCAGGTACCCCTCATTTCCGAGAGTCGAAGCTATTTTGGGACACCCTGTATAGAGAGAATTTACTTGGAAATTGTTCATTCGCGCGTGCTCGCGGTACCCGCGAAACGGCCGACAAAGGGGGCAATCGTCGAGCCGAGAGTGAACAAAGGTTAAAGGACGCGTGGGTGAGCCACGTTTCCGCGCGTAATACCAGAGAAATTATTCCGCTCGTAAAACGCAAACGGTAATTTTCTCGACCCCTATCTCAGGACTCCCTCTTTGTTGTAGCTATTCGCTTCTGCGTCGCCAGGCGCGGAATGAACCTTCACGGTTGCAATGATGACTGTGGTTGCGGAACACGCGATGCGACCCCCCACTTCCCCTGTTTCTGTTGGAATGTCAACGGTGGAATACGCATTGTTCTGAAGCGGTTTGAGGGGGGATGTTATTAGATCACTTCGAAATTTAAATTTCCAACATACTGAATTTTTTAATTTGACAATATAAATGTTTGACCCTACTGTTTTTTGGAGAATAATCTACCAAAATAGAACCTAGTAGGAAACCAACGAAAAACTCTACATGTCATCGTCAGATTGTCAGAAAACGCAATAAAATCGAAGTCGGAATAAAACTCAACGCAAATTGTATTTTCATTTCTATCTAAAAAGCTCACCAAGGGAAGAAATATATTTCTACATAATTTACATTTTTGTAGGTCCATCCGTAAAGGCTACGAATTCCCATAGGGACATTTACGATCTTGTAATCTTAATTCTCCATTCGAGCAACAATAATTCGTTGTTTATCTTTTTCATCACGAGACCTTCAAGTGTTGCCATGCCCGGAACGAACGTACGTACACGGTGATTCTTGCTAGGAGATCCCGACTGGACAGAAATTTCGAACCGATCCGGACGGGTCTCTGGGCGAGGCCGTGGTAAATCCTTCGAAAGATCTCGGTCGATCGTAAATATGAGATGCGCTCCCACGCGTGACTCTAATGCGATTGCTATATTGCTTCACCTACCGCCGAATGTGTCGACTGTGCCCCGTGGAAATACATTTCTTTATTGTGCCGGACGTGCACGATATGCTCGTAAACGCGGCCCACCTACATACACGCCAGCAATACGCTCTCCTCGAGCGGACTATCGTGCTCTGGGATGGTCCACTTTCGGCCAGTGGCTAGATAAATTAGCCATTTTCAGCATCTGTTTCCAGATCATTTTCCCAAGAGGATCGATTTCGATACTGTTTTTTTTTACCAAATGAACATTCTGTCGGTAAAACAGTGTTATCGATGTCTGACTCTATCATTCTGTCCAGCAGAAAGTTAGTACTTGCTCATTGCATTGTTTTGGTATCTTGTAGAAACATTTTTTTTCAATTTTGTACAAAGTTTTTAAAAAAATTATTGTAGTATCGTTGGGTCTTTCTAGGTGGCTACGACACTGATGGTTACCGACCGAGCCCGTGAATCAGCTGGCCAACGCGCGTTCACTAACCAGTCGCGTCAGTTTTTCAGCTATATTTTCGACAATTAATAATTCGGGAACGACGTCTTCGATGTAATTTTCTTACTCTTGATTCTCGGCTTACTTCCGTATGTAGAGTCACCTTTTAAAATTTCAGACACCTGTTACCGTACACCCTGTATATGAATGGAAATAGATCTGAGAGGTGTTGACGTACGTTAATGCAACGTAATAAGAGTGGTCCAAAGTATATAATTTTTATCAGGATCAGCTGTTCTTATACTTATGAACTGAAGCGTATGCATCTGGATCCCGTAGGATGCGTGACGATCTATCGCGTCAGACGATTAGTTCCTCATTTCGGATCAAAACGATCGCAAGCAACAAGTGCACCGGCGATAACACGCTGTCCAGGCACTCTAATCCGCAGTTCCACGACCCTTTCGATGCCTACGTTTACGAAACGTCCCACGGCCGATCGTCGATCCATGGTGCCAGGCGATTTACGAGCTTACATTTCGATCGGTACGCGGACGCCCACGCGTCTCGACGCATCCACGACAGATCGATGCCGTGGGTGGGCCCTCGAGTCTCGATCGATTTGGAAAGTGTGACACGTTGTCACCGCTCTCACGGTGAACTGTTAATGGTCTGCCTCTAAATCCATTCAACCACGGATCTCACGAGCATACGATGTCAGTGGTCTAGTAACACTTATTTTCTTCTGCCTGTATTGGTACAATAATTAGATTGTAGATGTTTATGCATTAACAGCATACCTTTTTAATTAAGATTTTAATAAAACTTAGTAGGACTTACCACGATGTTAATTATTAGACTGTGAATCATTATGGAAATTCAGATCGTTATAGCTTCGTTTATTCAACTGAAATTACACTGGAGATTTGTCCCATTCGTTAAAGATTTTATTGGGACTAAAATAAAATAAAATTGATTCTGGTCTTAATAAATTTCTAAAGATAAAACCTGCATTAAATACAATTAATTCAATTGCATGAAAAAGTAACTAATCTACCGAAATATTACCTAATTATTATCTGAAGGTATAAATGAATGAAATGAAAAAGAACTTCTATAGATCAAGTGTTTGGTAATAATTTGATAATAATAAAAGTAACTTCCTCTTCTGTGTACCATGTAGAGAAACATTTAAACTTCGTGACACGAGAGAAAGAAGATTCTGGCCACGGCGGTGAATAATTAATTAACGATAATGGAAGTCATCACGTAGGAATGTCTTGTTCCTAAGAATAGCCACATCGACAACGGACGAATTTTAATTCGCTGGAAAAAGCAACGATTACATTGCGCGCCTCTTTCCGACGAGTCTATGAATTAAAGTGTCATTATACTTTGCGTGCATCCAGATGCATCCTGCCGGCGTAGCGACATTTCGCGCTGTTTCCCCGGTTATTTCGCGTGCGAGTGCGTTGTAATTTACCTGTTTGTAGTGACAGAAACATGTGTTACGCGCCGATAACTCTGGAACTTTAAGTTAATTGCTTGTGTCC